TTTGTCATCTCGGGGGCGGCTCCTCAATCAAAGGTAATGAGTACCTGACTGAGAGGCAGGAATGCCCAAAGGGAGCCAAGACCTGCCCTTGCGTCTGACCCCCTGGGCCTCTCTCTTTGTGACCTCAACCCGAGCATCATTCTCCCAAGATCACTTACTTTTGCCCTGGATCCTTCCTGATCCTGGATCTTTCTGGGTGATCTTCTGATAGCAGCCACAGCCTCCTCTGTGTTGCTGCTGCTGAGTGAGTGCAAGAGCTGCTAGCCTCTATTTGGCTGGTGGCTGAGGGGGTCTGGATAAATGCAATGATACTGGGTAAATGCAATGATACTGGGTAAATGCAATGATTCTACATTATTGAAAGCTGCAGAAAATAGTACCCTGTTCCCTAGTAAAGCTGGAACCTACAAAATGTGCACTTTGACAATTGATCATTTGTACTACTCTGGGAAACTGAAGAGAGACTGGCTAAATAAGGAAACCTGCATTTCCTGAAATTCAAAAACTTATTTTACCATCCCTGGCAAATAACTTTTATTAATTTTATCTGATACTGCTCCCATGTTCTGCCATCTAGTCCTATTCTGTTTTGCTTGCTGTTGACTTATATTTCAGATAACACCTTGCAATATGCAACATTGTCATTTTCCTGCCTATGATCACCAACCTTTGAGAAAGAGTTGTCTGACTCAATTTTGTCTCTGAATGTGTCTAACAGCAGTTGCTGCATTACACTGTCTGAACGATGGCATACCAACTGTTTGCTGTTCTAAAGTGATGATATGTGGTGGCTGGAGAAATATAACTGACTTAGTCTTCATTTCCCAAAACGAAACGTTAGAATTCATCATTCATTTAACTTTTCGTTGTGCTCATTATGTGTAGTTATGTTTCCAGCATAACCTCTGTTTTTCCTTCTTTACAATGCCAGAGCATAGACACTGGGGAATCTCTCAAGGAAATTGAGCTACAGGAAGCAATCCAACACTGCAGTTGTTGTACAATTTTCAGAATAATTTCTTAATTCGTAACATGGACTCTTTTATTCGTTCCTACATTTGAGTTATCTCTGAAATACATTTCACTCCATTTATCATGTTCACTGCACTTAGTTTTGGCTGCATATCAAATATTCCTTCTACTAGTCTAGAAATTAATAGGAAAATGCTTTACAATTACATTCTTTGTGTATATGATTGAAATGTTTGTACCTCAGTGAACTCTTTGAGGCCTCACTTCAACAATTCACTGACAATGAAATTAACCATAGAAGGCAAAAATTTTGAAACTTTATACCTAGGCCTAGATTTAATGCAGCCCTTTGTGGCAGAATGAACAGACCTGATCCTGTGGGAGTGGTTTCTGTGTCAGATTCTCTAGTAGGAAGACATCCCCTGATTAGTTCAGATAGTAGGAGGAGCTAAATGGAAGATTTCCAAATTCCCAATTGCTAATGGTGGGTGGTCAATTCTTATGAAAGAACTTTCTTGATGCATGTGTCCCATTTCTGGTAGTACAGAAGTGGCAGAAAGGATTTACCCCATCTTCAGAGCCCATTATCCTATTGAAGAAGAATTGCAATGCTCACAACTAAACATCACTTGAATTTATTTACTTTTTAAGCTAACACTTAAATGTCAAAGTGACGATTAAAAGCTTTTCAAGGATTACATTTAATAGGTTGAAATAAATGATACCTTTACGTAGCAAAATCATTGAGAATTTCAGCTATAATCATTGATCAAGGTGATGGCACACTGAATTGTGTAGCAATTGTGAAGCAAGAAAACTTCGTATCCAAAATAGCATCCATGATGTGTACCAATGTTGGTCAATATATGCCATATTAGTGAGAACATTAGAGCAGGTGCTGGGAACATTTGCAGGGTTTTTACACAGTTGGCAGATCATGGGATCAGTTAACTTTTACTTAACTATAGCAATGCCTTTCAACTTCAATGCTTCAGGTAATTCTGTGCCTGTTAACCTCACACAGTGATATTGGAAGGGTTCATGAAAAACTTCAAGGTCAGTCACTGATTGACATTCATTTCTGTTGCTGAATTGAATTGGTAAAAGCAATGGGTGGCTTTTACTGCAATGTGGCTAACAAGGAATGGTATGGCATGGACTGAAGGTTTTGGTTTTGCCTTTAAGGGTTCTGTTCACATCACTTGCTTCCAGTTATCATGCTGTACTTTCCATCCCTCTTGGCCTGCAGACTGACAGGGCAAAAGAGTGGAGATGACGCAAGAGTACAATATGTTCAGAGGGAAGTGGAGAAGGATGAGAATTTCAGGATAGCAGTGATCTGAACATTCAGAGCAGCAAGCTTGTTTACTTGACTTCAGTCTGAGCTTGTACTGTAACTCTCAAATGTTGGGTAACTTCTGTTTGTGCTGCAATGGAAGCTGTGACATCAGTCATCAGACACTGACTTGATCACCAATTCCACACTGGAAAGGATACACTCAAAGTTCTGTGCAGATCTGTTGAAAGAAAGAGGGGAAAAAAACACCTACATAGCCATTGAGGGGGTGAACCTTCAACTTGTGAATACAAGACTGAGAATCTACAATCTCATTTCATTAGCAAACCATCAAAAGATTGAAAAGTAAACAACTCATTGATCCAGACTCGTGTCAGAATTGTGCTGCATTTTGTTCCTTCCTGACTCATAATACATATGTTTTGTCTTGTATCTTTGTGTGTTTGCTTGTTGTATACACAGGAATTTTGAGAAAGTTGTAGAAAAGACATTGTATACATATTCTTTTAAGCTACATTAGACAGTTTGGTAAAATTATGCACTTTGGTGATTTAATCAGGTATTCATATTTGTGACAACTCCAAAATAATAGGGCTTGATCTAAAGTTCTAAAATTCAAGATATGGTATCACTTTGTGTGGAACTAAGAAGTAACAAAGGGAAGAAAAACCTTGGCAAGAATTAATTATGGGCCACGAAATGGCAGTGATAATATAAATCAGGAAATTAGAGGTGTGTGTAACAAGGATAATTTAGCAATTATGGGGGACTTCAATCTACATATAGCCAGAAAAAACCTCATTATTACTCATGGTGTGGAAAGTTAATTCTCGGAATTTATGCAGCATGGTTTTCTGGAGCAACGTGATCTGGAACCAACTAGGGAACAGGACACTCTGAATCCAGGTCCTTGGGGCTAGGCAGTTGACATTGTGCGTCTCTCATTTTGGGGATGTAGGCTAGCTTTAAATACTGCAGGCTTATTTGAACTCCTGCACCTCCTCTTGATGTGTACATGCACTCATCAGCTATAGTGGACTGCACACTATAACTATTGCAAATGTGCAAGCAGCATGAAATTCTTTGTGCTGCCTGTGTCACAACCAGTGGGTGTTGGTTAATTAGGATGTCTGTGCCTGTTTCGGGAACTGATTCAGTTTTGTTGCCAGCGTTGCCAATTTTTAGGAATGGTAACACAAAGTTATGAACTTAAATAGCAGAAATATAAAACCAAGACAATAATTAACATGTACAAACAGGATGGTTTATACATTGAAGAGAGACATGTTTCAGCTGATTTCCTAGCCTCTGGCCTAATCCAGGCAGATACCTTTGAGTGGAGAGTTTGAAAGTGGTAGGGGTAGGGAATTGTATGCTAATTGTCATTTTAAGTGACAGACTGGTGAAAAACTATTGCAGCAGCCATATCAAACAGGCTAAGTAAATAAAGTAAAAAGACCCGTAATGTAGAAGAATTAAAAATACAAGGAAAAGAAGCATGTGTAACATCTGACTAGGTAGAAGTCAATATCAGTAAAGTCTTGTTTTCGATTTAACCTTTAAATCACCAGTACTTTCACAAAATGCCCAACGGCTTAGCCGATCCATGACAGAATTCTACCAGCTTGTGGTGGCAGAATGGCAGGCTTTGCAACCAATAAAGTTGCGGGGTCAGATTATCTCCCAGTTGCAATCCAACCACTTGGGCATTTTACCAATGGTCAAACTGGACGTGGAGAGACTGTCCCCTGCTGCCAATTTACATAATGAAAGGCCCAGTTAGAGCTCAGTTGTTGTTTTGCTGATGGCCCGACTGGCCCACTGCCATGTGGGGAGGCTGCCAGATAAATGGAGGGAAGGGACAGTTTAACAAGGAGCTGCAGGCAGGAATGGGTAGCTGTATGACCTCTGAAAAAGGATTTGTAGTCAACACTCAGCCTGGTAAAGTTTTCAAATATTTGTTTACTTGCCTACAAAGTTCTCAAGGACCCCTGTATTCCACAGCAGAGAGTAGCTCTCCTGACTTCTATATTTTTTTAAATTAACCTATTTTTCTAATCAACCTATTCAAAGATATTATTATCATCATCATCATCATCATGATGATGCACCTCTGGAGCAGGTCCGATGTGTTTCTAATCCTATGATTGGGCCAGTGACACCTGGGGACCTTTAATCAAGAGCATCATTGATTGGTCAGTGAGCCCACAGGTGGCCCATTAGGAGGCCTGTAGTAAATTCCTGAGCCAATTGCCCAGGCAGCAAATGCAAGATCTGGATCTATGTTTAGCCAATTACCTCATAAAATTCAACCTTAAGTGTTTATGATTAATATTCTGGTGATGAAAATATAAGTTTTACAATAAGAAACTTGCTGAAGCATTAGAAGTAATTTTGATACTGCTGAAATATATTTTACAGTTGTTTGTTTTGTCACATTTTTAACCTGAATCATTATTTTTCACTTTTTCTCTCCATTTGTATTTTAACCTTAATCTATCTTTTTCACCAGCACTAAGCTTTTTTTTCCTTCATTTCATTCTTTACTTACTTGTTTTCTTCTCTGATTATAAAAATGTTTTATACACCAAATTGAAATTTTCAATTTCCAGCAAAAAGCAATTGGTTTTTTTCAATGTATTACTTTTATAATTTATATATCTTGATTTAAAATTGTTCATAAGTTGAATATTGATGAAGACCACTCATAAGAACATTGTATTTCCTTCAGCTACCAGGTAAAACTAATATTATAGGAATAAAAGGCAAAAAGGGTCCAGCTGCATCCTATCCAGGTAAGCTTTTTTACTGTACTAAAGCTTGTATGAAAAATAATATTTATATTGTAGTTTCTGGTAATAGGGGTGTCTACAATTAGCACAATTAAATGACCCATTTCATCAATTTCACAGAGCTAAATGTTCAACTTGTAAAATCAAATTGAAAGAAACATTGTTCCCCATTGTCTAATGTTTCAGTTAATGGTATAGTTCAGCTTTAAGACATGCTGAGACGTATTTTCTGATTGACATTATTCCAATGAGAACATTTATGCTTTTGGTAACTCTGACATGAGTTGGTTCTTGTTGCCCTCAGATTAAAACAAATCATATTTATTTTCAATTTATGGTGAATCTAGGCAGATGTGGGAGGGAATTGTGATAGTTTATCATTCTTATTTATTCCATCCTGACTTTGTAGCTATTTAGGCAAGAAAATGCCAAATCACTCCAAAACAAATCAGTTAAATGTACTAGCTACAGCTTAAGCATGGTTGTCAGCCTAAAGAATTGTGCCATGAGCTATTTCAAGTGTTTGCAACTTCCGTGTTGATACCTATCTATAATATTATAAATTCCCAAAATAGTCCATTCAGAACATTTGCCTGAAGCATTAGATTAACAACTAATCAACATCAGAGAAAAGCCCTAGCTCTCTCAACCTTTCCTCGTAAGACCTTCCCTCCATTCCAGGCAACATCCTGCTAAATCTCCTCTGCACCTTTTCCAACGCTTCCACATCTTTCCTGTAATGAGGCGACCAGAACTGGACACTATACTCCAGATGTGGCCGAACCATACCTACCAGTAACATAAGTATTAAAGGCGAATTCATCTTTTGGCAACTGCTTGTTTAAATATTGGGTAAGACAGGTTTGGCCTTACCTAGGAGGTCATCCAATACAGAGAAATCTTCTGACACACTGGGCTCCCACATGATTAGTGATGAAATTGAGTGCTGTCAAAAACTCATTGTTTCAGGTAGGTGAGCTGCTTGTTATTAAACAATCTGCTCGAATCAGATATTAATAGGGTGGCTGTAATTTTTGTACCCTTTCACCCCATCTCCCCAGTTTTCAAGACCTAGTTGCTTCCTTATCAGGTATGATATGTGAGAGTCAGATTTCTCATTCAAAACCTTTCCGTGCAGAAAGAAAAAGGCTGAAGAAAACCTGATAAATATATGACCCTCGATGATAGTATTATGGCCTCTGGAATAATTGTTTCCTGAAAACCAGAGAAATCACAGACAGTATTGTCTTTCTGACACAACTTTCTTACATTTTTATATAGGTTCCAAAGTCAAGGACATAAAAGTGAACCAGCAACTGATTTATATAATGACAATGTGTTTGCTGTTGTGATGTATTTCATGGATACTTCCATTATATTTCTAGCACAAAATGGAACAAGTTGGATACGATTCCCCAAAAAGCCGAGTGTTAATACGCAATTGGCCTTAGGTAGGTTACAAATCAAAATTATAAGCTTCTTTATAATCCCCATATATTTGGCATAATGAGCTGTTTGGGGAACCTGTGTAATGTAATCATAAACTGTGTCTGTATCAAAATGTGTTTAAATTATTGTTAATTTTTTCTACCTAGTTATTTAAAAAAATAAAACGTATGTTTAGTGATAGTGGATTGAATGAATCATTTATTTTTTTTGAGGCATTGAAGCATGTGAATATATTACCAAGGGTAATACAAAGAATATTTTGGAATTTGACTTTGTATTGGAGCAACTGAAACTACAAACATACTACTACAGAAACCATGTGACCTGAACTTTTAATTGCATATTATTAAGTTTGTGGTTCAGGTTTATTTGCTAGTTTGTATAAATTTGTGCTGAACATACAGTATGACAACTTTGCTCAAATCACCTGTAAACCTCTTTATTGATGGGGTGACCCAGGCAAATATTGTCTATTCAGTCTTATTTGTGTTTTTGGTTACATAATATCTGTAGAGCTATGATCATGTGCTTGTAGTGGTGAGCCATTTTCGTTTGTTTAATGGGCTGGAGAATATTGTAGTCCCATCAACAGCCCAAGCTTTCCTGCTGGGAGCTTGGATTTAAGAAATTTACGATGAAGAATGCAAATGCAAATGCCCTGTAGAATCATGAATGAATCAGATCTTGTTCTGCATAGATTTGTGTAAATCAGGTTGTGCATCTCAAGGAACCCAATGTCTAGATTGAGAACAGGAAGATGAATATTTACGTTCAGCTTGAGAGTTGGCAACATTATCTAATCCCATTGCATAACTAATGCTGCAATTGAAATGCGGGAGATCAGACTGTAGGATATGTGAGATAGTAGGAATTGCAGATGCTGGAGAATCCGAGACAACAAGGTGCAGAGCTGGATGAACACAGCAGGCCAA